AAAAAAAAAAAAAAAAATGTCAAAGACACCATTCCATAAAGGTCTTATACCTTCAGTTAAATTTTGATGTAATATGTGTTTTGAAAAGAAAATTTCACACTCTTTCCATTGGTGCCAACAGTTTTGAGAGAAAAAATTCTGCCAAAGCTGTATCTTAAAAGTTACAAACGAAACTTGAAATTTCAAGAAAATTCTAGCCTTTTTTTTCGGTGTCTGACTTCGTAGCTCGGCACCAACAAGTCAAAATTAAAAAAACTTATATGTGTTTGTAAGCAGAATTTTATAGTCTAAAAAAATGACAGGAGTGATTTTTTTCACCGGATGCACTAGAATCACGCAAAATCGGGGAAACGCTGCCGAAGTCAACAATCAATTTACACGTAATTTCAGACGGCCGCCATTTTGTTATAAGCAATTTTGACTGTGTTCTCGAGGAAGGCTAATGGTAAACTTTTTTTGGGGGGCTCCAGACATGTTTTGGAGCGCTTTAAAACACAATAGAAGTTTGTGCTAATTTGTCCGAGGTTAGGCCCTTTTTTTGGCTAGAATGACTGGACTAAGTGCCCTTTTTCCCCAAAAAATTCACCCCGGGCCCATTTTTCGTCGGATTGAAGTGAATTTGACACATTGTCAATGAAAGTATGTCGATTTGAGAAAAAAATGCATAAAATGCTCGACTTCACTCATTGGTGTGCTGCGGTTGATTGTTTGTTGTGATTTTGTCTGATTTTAACGACAAAACCTTCCCCTCTTCAAATGCCCATAACTTTTGAGCTGCAAGTTATTTCTTGCTCCAATTTTTTTAAAATGCTCCCAAGAGTATTAGAAAGACGCCTAAAGAACAATTCTGATGACGTTTTGGGCTTTAGTATCTTTTTTTTTTCACTTTTGTCCGACAAAGGCCTGAAAAACTGAAAACAACACCAAAATTATTCCAATAATCGACCATTACCGTGAAAAGTCAACTCAAAAATCGCTCAATTTTTGCCTGAATGGTCCTTACTGTGTGTACAATATGTTTGAAAAATAAAATCAATGGCATTTTGGGTTTGAATATCTCTAACTTCGAGTTTTTTCCGAAAAAAGGCCAGCAAAACTGAAAACACTGAAATGACACCAATTATCGGCCCTAACTTTGGAGTAGCAACTCAAAAATTGCTCACATTTTTACTGAATGGTTCTCACTGCATGTGAAATGCGTCTGAGGAATAAATGTGATGGTATGTTGGGTTTCCGTAAACCTCTCCCAACATTTTTACTCAAGAGAGGCTGGCTTGACTGAAAAAAGCGCCAGGAAAATCTCATTAACCGACCATTACATTGAAAAAACAATTGATTGGGGGCCCAGATTTTTCACCAAAGGACTCTTGTTGTATGGGAAGCACACTAACTTGAGGAGTGATTATAGCAAGGGATTCACTCTTGAAGGAGAGAAAAAATATGTACAAAAATCATGTATTTAGATATTTTGCGATAAAAAATAGAATGTTATCAATGAAGTAAGTGTAAGGTTTTCCCTCGATTTAATCAATTCAAAACTTGGTTGCTTTTTCAACTCGAAGCAATAAATTTACTTCAAAAAACTTTTTAATTTTCACGGAAGGGGACGGATACATAAATGAAATCTCAAAAGTCGTTTTCTTCCTCTGATTTGGATAGAACAAGCTCAAAGAACCAATGCCTATCATGCACACACGCAACATACGAATTTATTGAGATTTCTAGCATAACTCTAACTTACTCTGGGTTAGAGTAACTATTGAGGGCAAACAAGATCATGATCTAAATCAGCAACGGTGTAATTTATAGATCTGAAAATTAAAAAGTTTTTTGAAGTAAATTTAATGCTTCGAATTGAAAAAGCAACTAAGTTCTGAATTATGTGAATCAAGGGCAAACCTTACAGTTACTTCATTGATAACATCCTATTTTTTTATCGCAAAATATCTAAATACATGATTTTTGTACACATTTTTTCCCTCCCTTTAAGAGTGAAACCCTTGCTTGAGATGTTGAGGAAATAAATCAGTAACTTAATTTTTCAAAACTAATAATTACAATACTTCAACTCTAGTCAGCATCAATAACCTTCCTCAATTTTTAACAATTTAATGTTCTGGTAATTCCCATTAGCACTTTTTGTCTTGTCCTTAGATTTTTAATTTCAGAATACATTTGAAAGTTATTAACCTCATAATGATGTCATCCAGGAGTCTGTGAATCACTTTTAAATGTGAATAGGGATGCCCATCAGTTAAGGGATACCTGCAGATTTATCTCCTTAGTTTAAAGGCGATCGTAAAGATTGAAGTGAAGGGGAAAACTACTACAACCAAGAATACACTATAATCACTCCTCAAGTTAGTGTGCTTCCCATACAACAAGAGTCCTTTGGTGAAAAATCTGGGACCCCAATCAATTGCTTTTTCAATGTAATGGTCGGTTAATGAGATTTTCCTGGCGCTTTTTTCAGTTAAGCCAGCCTCTCTTGAGTAAAAATGTTGGGAGAAGGTTTACGGAAACCCAACATACCATCACATTTATTCCTCAGACGCATTTCACATGCAGTGAGAACCATTCAGTAAAAATGTGAGCAATTTTTGAGTTGCTACTCCAAAGTTAGGGCCGATAATTGGTGTCATTTCAGTGTTTTTCAGTTTTGCTGGCCTTTTTTCGGAAAAAACTCGAAGTTAGAGATATTCAAACCCAAAATGCCATTGATTTTATTTTTCAAACATATTGTACACACAGTAAGGACCATTCAGGCAAAAATTGAGCGATTTTTGAGTTGACTTTTCACGGTAATGGTCGATTATTGGAATAATTTTGGTGTTGTTTTCAGTTTTTCAGGCCTTTGTCGGACAAAAGTGAAAAAAAAAAGATACTAAAGCCCAAAACGTCATCAGAATTGTTCTTTAGGCGTCTTTCTAATACTCTTGGGAGCATTTTAAAAAAATTGGAGCAAGAAATAACTTGCAGCTCAAAAGTTATGGGCATTTGAAGAGGGGGAGGTTTTGTCGTTAAAATCAGACAAAATCACAACAAACAATCAACCGCAGCACACCAATGAGTGAAGTCGAGCATTTTATGCATTTTTTTCTCAAATCGACATACTTTCATTGACAATGTGTCAAATTCACTTCAATCCGACGAAAAATGGGCCCGGGGTGAATTTTTTGGGGAAAAATGAGTCTCTCTTTCTCGGAAGTTCGAAACGTCTCTTTCTTGAAAATTCTTAAATTTCAAAAATTCATATCTTATTGAGTTTTTTGAATTGAGACCTAATATTTTGCAGAAGTTCATTATTTGGTGGCCTGATCAAGAAAAAAAATTTATCATCAAAATCCGAGTCGGGCGGTTGCATGGCTGGTAGGTTCCATATGGAATGACCCTACTGGTAAAAAACATAGATGATCTTGAGAGAATTAGCGCCTATTTTCTGAATTTCTCGTCCATCTTTGAATTTGTTTTGTCTTTCTGTAGTATTTTCCACTTCTCTTTACATTCTTAACAACACCGATCAATAAAATCCATTTATCATTCTCATTTTTTCAACGTTGTTTGTCATGTACTATCATTAAAAATACATCAAATTTTATACATCTTCATACTCAACAGTTTCCCATCATTTTTGGGATTTGAAGGGAGGAAGGAGTCCATCAAGCATCATGAGGGAGTCCTAAATTGCATTACAAGGTCAAAAATACCGAAAAAATGCGTTTCGTTCGTTCCCTCCTTTTCGTGCGACAAAAATGAACAGTTTGGGGTTGCATAAATATGGCACGAGGGATTTTACCAAATTTCGCCCCTCCCCCTCTCACCCAAGTGAAGAACCTTGGAGTAAAGCCATCCATTCCCCTTTAATTATGTATGGTGACTGGCGCAACCTCCCTCTCTCCTAAGCATGATCCCATTGTGAGACATGCCCTTTCCTCCTCAGAGCAAAAAGTCTTATCTGGGCTCAGGAAATCGGCCACTAGAGGACACCTACATTTTGCTTTGGGGCATCCTGTAAACGGTAGATGTGTAATGAAGGTCCAATTCTGCGGAATAAAAATGATATTTTATAGCATTCTGGATTAAATTAAATCAAATAGTAAAACAGAATCAACAAACCATCTAAGGGATGAAGTCCAGTTTTTGCTGCCATTTTATGAAAGGAAGTGAATTCATCGCGTAGGTTTGGGTCAGCTCCTGCCTCTAGTAAAATTGATACGATTTCAGATCTTCCATTGATAACAGCTGTTTGCAATACAGTCCAACCAAGAATATGCCGTTGATTCACATTTACCCTCTCTTCATAAAGAAGTCTGGACAAAAAAGTTATTTAACAATAATTTTGCGGGGCGCGACTAAAATTGCCCGTATACAGGGTGTCGCGGACCATCCGTGCCAGGCCGTTTTCTCGGTTGGTTTAGGTCGCACGAAGTCAGGGACCGCGGGGTTGAATAGCGAATCGACCCCAAGGAATCCGAATTTCATGGTCCCGAAACCCCCCAGCCCCCCTTTGGAGGTAAAGAAAGGGTCACTATCCTAGAAGTCGGAGTTTCAGATAGAATTGAGATTAGATTGCATTGATATTGAAAAGTACGGAAAATTTCACGTGAAATTGATCCCTAAAAATCCAAAATCGATTTACTTTAGGCCCAAACATTATCCCTTAAAGAGGGGGACGTCCCCCTCCATAATTTTCTTTTGGTCGCAAAATTGACGCAGATTCTCCGGAAAAAGATGGCACCCCGGCCGGGTAATCGACCCTAAGGAATCCGAGTTTCATGGTCCTAGCCCTCCCTTAGGGAGTAAACGGGGGAAGGTGGGGCACAATTTTAAAAGTCGGGGTACCCTTCCGAATCGCAAATTGATGGCATCCAAATTGAAAAGTGTAAAAAATGTAAACTTTGTTTGACGTCAGAGAGTTCAAATTAACCCAGTCAACACCCAAAAGTATCCCCCTGAAGAGGGGGCCGATGTTCTCTCCACATATTGTATTGCTCGTTGGTCGGAAAACTGGCGTAGGTAAATCCTGCGGATAAAGATGGTATACTGGTGAATTGACATCAAGGAATCCAAATCTTCCCCTCAAAATTTTAAAGAGAGGTCAAGGGAGCTCTGAGACCATCTTTTTCCGCAGGATTTCCGTCAGTTTTCCGACCAACGAGCCATTTGTGGAGAGGACATCGGTCCCCTCTTCAGGGGGATATTTTTGGGCACTGCCTGGATTAGTTTGAACTCTCTGGCGTCAATCAAAGTTTAAATTTTTGCACTTTTTCTTTTTTTTGGATGCCATAAATTTGCGATTCGGAGGGAAACCCCGACTTTTGAAATTGTGCCCCCCCTCCCCCGTTTAGGACCATGAAAATCGGATTCCTAAGGAATTCTGAGTTTGAGGAGGATTCTCTGTCAGTAATGCCACCATTAATCGGTTTTTCTCACTTCACTTTATTTTTCCACTTGTAAACCATCGTCGACTTCCATTGTCGACTCTGAAGTCGTTTACCTGGGGTGCCATCTGTTTCCGGAGAGTCTACGTCAATTTTGCGACCAAAAGGAAATTATGGAGGGGGACGTCCCCCTCTATAAGGGATAATGTTTGGGCCTAAAGCGAATCGATTTTGGATTTTTAGGGATCAATTTCACGTGAAATTTTCCGTACTTTTTAATGGTAATGCAATTGAATCTCAATTCTGTCAGGAACTCCGACTTCTAGGATAGTAACACCCCCCCCCCCCCCAAAAGGAGGCTGGGGGATTTCGGGACCATGAAATTCGGATTCTTTGGGGTCGATTCTCTAATCAACCCCGCGGTCCCTGACTTCGTACGACCTAAACGACCGAGAAAAAGGCCTGGTACCGGCGGTCTGGGATACCCTGTACATAATGTAAGTACCTACACGTGATTAAAGAAAAATAAGCCACTCATAAAAATTCATAGTAACGACATTCCCTGTTATAACTCAAATTTTTTAGATGTATTCTTCCATATAAAGAAAAGACTTCTAGGTTGCACTAACTCTAATTTTCAACAAAATTTGCTAAACCGTACAGAATATTTTTCCACCATTTAGAACTGATAGGGTGGGTGTAATTTGATTTTCTCGACTTAGGTATGATGTTTCTGGACCATCTTAATCTACATCTTAAAAGAAGACATGATTTTATGAGTAATCCTCAATCCAGCAACATTTGCTCATGATCCAAGAATGGGCAAAAATCAGTATTTTTGAAAGATGCACTTTCCGATCTGACAAGAAGAAAATGACAGGTTTATTGAATTTTCAAACTTAATCAATCATCAGCCTACCAGACTTTCGATTGTTGATTCTAAAAAACTTACTTCTGATTACTTAAAATGTACAAAAAAGGTGGAGATGAATTGTTCTATGTATTCCCTGCAGAACGGGTGATAGAAGAAAATAAATAAATAAATCTTATGATATTTTGATCACATTCTACTGCGGTCATTTTGTTTTGTTGAAACTGAGGATTCTTTAGCAGACTAAAATGTGGTGATGTAATCTGGCTGAACCTACAAGATATGTTTTTCTTTTTGAGGAGGGAGGGGGAGCACTGTAAAAAAATTACATAAATATCGTATACCCGAGGGGGACTACTCATTAGAAATCAAACATAAATTTACCTTCTGAGTTCTGCAGCAGTCCCCAATTTTGCCGCCCGAAAAAGAGATTTTTCTGTAGAAGAAGAAACAGTGACAACTAGTGAGACCGTCGATGAGAATCATAATGCTGTTGCAACTATATTGGAGTTGTTATTATCTTGAGCATATGCTACATTCTCTGGAAAACACACCTTTTGGTTTCAATTTATAACACTTGGGTATGCTTTGGCAATGCAACAATACGACAGTGTTGTGCTGAAGAATCTGGTGGTCAGCTTGGATCACTGATTGGAGGAAAAAATGTAGCCCATCTTCGCTCAGAAAATACAGGTATAGAATTTGTTTCATAAAAACCAGGAGTGTTGAACAATTTTTTATTTGTTATGACTTTGGTGAACACAATTTGCCAAAATTCGCAGAAATAATGATTTGTTTAAACGAACAAATCGCGAAAACCAATCGTAGCCCGCGATTCTCCCATAAGCCGCCGTGTTGAAAAATGCTGAACAGTCCTAAGATTGTTCCCACATTCCAGCGAACAAGGGGATCAGAATGGCACGTTCATGGATTGACTTCACTAGCGCTCCAGTACATTGCTACTGAATTGAACTCCATGTTTCAACCTTGTCAAATAGAATGGCTTTCTTCCATAAACAGCACCATTTCCTAGAAAATTGAAGATGAAAACTGTCCATACTGACCTACATCACCAACGAAATCCAAGATGCTCAATGTGTGACCACCTCCTTTCTTTTCTCTATGTATTTTGATAGCAAATGAAGACCTCTCCTGCAGCTCAATAGGTATGTGGCTGTCTCAAACCCGACAAAACTTGAGTTGTGCAATTTTGTGCTTTCACCATCGAAATAACGTTAAAACTAAGAGCAGTTGCGGTGAGTCAACAGTTTCTGGCGGAGTCAAACTAGCATACATACGATGTTTCGCATCAATTAAGTAAAAAATCTCAGCAGATTTTGGATTTTTGGCCAAAATAGAAATGTAGCCCCAGCACAAGGGCCTAGAGAATCATACTTAGCCCAAAAATTAGTAAATTATAGAAAAATGAGAGCAGGATCCTTTAGGGGGAAAAACCTCACCTTCAATACAAAAATCAACAACTGTAGCAGATGCATAATTTTTCTCCACATTTTGGCGATGTTTTGGTTTAAAATGGTCCTTAAGGTTCACGCGCAGAGGCTCTCATTCTATCTTTGGTTGAAAATTCAAAATGTTCTGAGATATTTTACTAAATCGATACTATAATCTTATCGCACGCCAGTTTCACCATGGCAGAAACCGTAACAGATCACCTTATAGGTCCCTGTGTATTGAAAAAAATTAGACAATCTCTGTGAATGACAACTAAGTAAACACTGTACATTAGGAATGAACGAATAGCGGATTCGAATGCGATTATTCGGATAATCAAAACTTTTCGAATGCGATTGTTTGAGAATTCAAATCTTGCGATTGCAAATACTTTGGAAGCGAATTTTCAAATATGTTCGATTATTGCTTCGATTTTTCATTTTTTATGAACTGTGAGCGATAAATGACACGTTTAACTAGGACAGTCAGTCATTCCCGAACGTGGAGTTTAGGACGAGTTTTAATTAATAACGAGATTGACGAAAGGGATGGACGGTTATCGAATTTGAGTGCAATTATTCGAATATTCGTATGCGATTATTCGAATATTCGTATGCGATTATTCGAATATTCAAATTTGCAATTTCGAATACTTCGGAAGTGAATATTCAAATGTGATGCGATTATCTCGGTGCCTATAATTCGAATGTCGAATATTCAATTATCTGAATATTCGACCATCCCTACTGTTCAATAGTCAGGTTCAAAGGATAGCAAATATTTAAAATTCCAGAGATTGTTTTCATTTCAAAACCTTTCCTAATATGTAGGAGAAGCATTCGAATTCTTTTCCGTACCTGTAGAATTTAGAGAGCAGTTGTAGATTACGAGTGAAAGGCCGCACATAAGGATGATATTGGAACTGAAGATGCTATTAATCCCGAATTTACTTGAAACTGGAATGAGAGCCAAGGAACAGCGAAGAAAATCTGACCTTGTGAACTTTTTGAGGTTAGAATTAACATGCAAACACATGAACTGATGTTGAGTACGGAAGAAGTTTAAAGCAGGAAAACATTGTAGACTTTCGTGACTGCGAAATATCAAAGCAGTGGAAATTCTTTGAGAACGAATTAATGAAAAAATATTTCGAATAAAGACATGACACTCGTTCTTGCAGCCCATTTTACGCAGACATAGATAGAATAAAGCGAAAAAGCGATGATTAAGCACTTTGAGAAGGAAAGAGGCGTTGAAAAGTTGCCACGAGCGCACCGGTAATCGACCGATGACCATTGACTATTCGGATGCTATCTCGTAGATTAGCGCGGGAATTTCGAAAAAAACAGTAGGATTGTAATTTTTAAAGTCGGAAATTAAAAAAATTTAAGTTGAGTGAAACATTAATTTTTTTTTTGTTGAAAAACATTAGTTGAACAGAATGCCACTAATTTATTAAAGAGCTGATGACCTAACCTAACCTAACCTAACCTAACCTAACCTAACCTAACCTAACCTAACCTAACCTAACCTAACCTAACCTAACCTAACCTAACCTAACCTAACCTAACCTAACCTAACCTAACCTAACCGCTAAGTCAGTAAAAGTCGCTGATTTAGCTAACTATTTTCAATATTAAATTAATTGTTGTAAAAATGAGTTTTGACCTAACCGCTAAGTCAGTAAAAGTCGCTGATTGAGCTAACTATTTTCAATATTAAATTAATTGTTGTAAAAATGAGTTTTGTGACTTATTTGGACGAAGAATCAAGATTGGGGGATTTTACAGATTGGAAAAAAAAAAAAAAAATTCCAGTGCCGGGAACCGAACTCGGCATCCACACTGTGGCAGGCGAGTGCTCTACCCATTGAGCCATCCGAGCGGTTACATTAGTGCCGGAAATAAGTAGTATATAAGGGTAGCGTTATTGTTGTTGAAAAGAAGATGCATCGTTGACCGGTGACCGACGCGGATGGTTGCTGGGGATTCTGCAACTTTTCATGCCTCTTTCCTTCTCAAGAGTAAACATCAAAAGGGATAACGCCACCAGGGACCAGTTCTACAGGACCCTGGACTCCCGTAAGAGTCAATGTAAAAATTCGTGAGCAGGTACTAGTGCTACTATCTCGCGTAGGATCCTCGCAACTCACTGCTGTTATCAGTTGTTGGACTTAGAGTCCCTTTATCAAGACCAATCCACACAGGTCAGTCATTCCCGAGGACGAATTTTGGTACTCTACTGCGCAGTGACGTAGTATTGAGTGCATACAATGTATTTCTTATGGGTGCACTCAATAGCAGAGAAAACTAACGTACCTCAATAGTACGTCACAATGAGTGCTGCGAGTTAGGACCGGGCGGGGGAGTGGATTTCAAAAAAGCTGCGCAATGACTGACTAGAGTCCCTTTATACCCAGAGTTACGACAACTCACTTTTGGTTGGGCCAGGATTGGGCTGAAAGTGGCCTAAAAAAAAATCCAATTCTGATTGGTTCTCGCTCATGGAGGCCGAAACTAGTGCACCAAGATGGCGGTACCTCGAATGTGAGCAAGAATAATGAAAATCTTACCTAATTGTGGTTTATCGAGAGTAAATTGTTATTTCCATCGGTCCAAAATGAAAATAGAATAAGAAATTATTCACAAACCAATCTCATTTTCTTTTTAATTGATCAATTTGTTGATGTTGTTGTTTTTGTGTGACAGACATCGCAGGATTCCTGATCCTTATCCCTCAATATCGTTCGTTTGAGTGCACTAGTTTCGGCCTCCATGGCCAGCCAAGGTCGGCTGCCAGTCAGCTGATAATCGAGTTGTCGTTACTCTGGGTATAAAGGGACTCTATGACTGACCTGTGTGGATTGGTCTTGCCCTTTATACCCAGAGTTAAGACAACTCACTTTTGGTTGGGCTGAAAGTGGCCTAAAAAAAAATCCAATTCTGATTGGTTCTCGCTCATGGAGGCCGAAACGAGTGCACCAAGATGGCGGTACCTCGAATGTGAACAAGAATAATGAAAATATTACCTAATTGTGGTTTGTCAAGAGTAAATTGTTATTTCCATAGGTCCAAAATGAAAATAGATTAAGAAATTATTCACAAACCAATCTCATTTTCTTTTTAATTGATCAATTTGTTGATGTTGTTGTTTTTGTGTGACAGACATCGCAGGATTCCTGATCCTTATCCCTCAATATCGTTCGTTTGGGTGCACTCGTTTCGGCCTCCATGGCCAGCAAAGGCCGGCTGCCAGTCAGCTGATAATCGAGTTGTCTTAACTCTGGGTATAAAGGGACTCTAGTTGGACTTCATTAAAATCCGTAGGATCGCGTATAACTGCAAAAAATCGAATTTTTCACCATTCTGTAATGTGCGACAAGCTCTTCTGGCCGAAAGGGGTCGAAAAACGCCAAAAATATACTTATTTTTCAAGAATTCAGCCGCCTTATGTGTTATTTTTCAATCTCCGGCTTAACCTCACTTTTGGAGCGGGCGATGGATGAGTCGAGGTTCGGGGGGAAGGATCCTCTGAGTTGACTAGGATCCTACGCGAGAATGCGCTGCAATCACCCGCTCACAACAGAACGGCGTCCTACGTCCTATAGAACTCGTCCCTGACGCCACTTAGAGTCCCTTTATACTGAGACATGGACCAATAGAATAAATAAGGACTCCCAACTCCCTATGCTACCCTGTGTTAAAAACCGTTAACGCGCGCTCGCAGCGAACCTGGCAGAGGGTGCGGTGAACTAACGCCGCAGCGGTCCATGATCGTACCTCTATAGTATGTTATTCCATGCAATGTTCTTTGTTTATCTATGATTTATTTATTTGTGTAGATACTTTAATACATTTTACTTTCGCAAACTAATGAAATTCAAGGCGGATAAAGAATGGTGGTCGCATTTCGTACCCTCTGGACGTCACACGGTATCGGGTACATGGGCTGGCCGAGGCCGGGGGGGCCAAAGACATAAAGACGGAGGGCTAAAAGCAAAAAATGAAGCTTCTTTTCAACCACCTCTACTATTGGCTAGAGGATTGGCGGCGAAATCGGGACAAGTTTGAATTCAAATATAGGGCGGGAACTGAATAAAATAATTGCGGAAACAAAGTATTTTAGGTTGATTTTTGCCCAAATTCAGGTACAAACTCATATTTTTTTAACTCTAGGTTAGTTTCCGTC